ACGCAGAGCTGGTGGGTTGCCTCATGTACCTGATGACTTGCACTCGCCCAGATCTCGCATACCCTCTCAGCATCCTGGCTCGCTTTGTGGCTACAGGCAGACACCGACCTCAGCACTGGTCTGCCGCTAAGAGGGTTTTGCGTTATCTTGCTAGTACATCAGGCATGGGGTTAGTGCTAGGAGGACGCAGGCCAGTGGTCCTTACTGGGCACACAGACGCTTCTTGGGCAGACGACGCTGAGACGCTCAGGTCGTCGCAGGGCTACTGTTTCAGCCTTGGTTCGGGTGCTATCTCTTGGAGATCCACTCGCTCGTCGTCTGTGGCTCAGTCTAGCTGTGATGCTGAGATCTACGCTGGTGCCATGGCGGCACAGGAGCTCCGCTGGCTGACCTTCTTGCTCACAGACTTAGGTGAGCGGCCTAGCTCTGCCCCGGTCCTGTACGCTGACAACAGGGCCATGATACTCCTGTGTCAGGAGCCTCGGCTTGAGGGCAGAGCGAAGCATATCCAGCTGCGGTACTTCCTCCTGCGCGAGCTACAGCAGCGCCGCCAGGCCCGCGTAGTTCACTTGGCCTCAGGTGCCAACACAGCTGATATCTTTACTAAGGCGCTTGCGCCTAAAGATCATCAGCGGCACTGTGTACAGCTTGGTCTTGTTCCTATAGCTGCTCCCCTGTTAGGATCCTGATTGTGTACTCTCTATTATATATGCTTGTCAGACTGGCCTTGTGGCCTTACCTCCAGTGGCTGGACTAGTAGTGCCACCCTGGCTTGCTTCAGTTTTGGTTGTATTCTTGCTGAGTGGTCTCCAGACCCCTGCCTCAGTGGTTGGACTAGTAGTGCCGCCCTGAGCTGTTTGCTTCTTGTTTAGTTTCACCCCTTGTCTAGCCTAGGGGGTGTGTCAACTTATACATATTATCTATGTAGAAGTTATAGGCTAGACTGAGGTATGCTTCTAGTGAGTACAACCAACTAGTATTTGTTCTAGGTTTCCACCTCTAGTAATCATTCGTTTCTACGATAACAACCTGTGCCATCCAGTCCTAGGAAACCGTCGCATGCACAATAAAGTCGTCGCGTGGGCTCTTATCACCGCTGTACATTTCGTATCAGATTTACAGCTGCCTGAGTCACATGTTGTTACCGATTCGTCGATATGTGCAAAACCTGGCTTGCTGGCAACTCTAGGGCATGATTTGCATGCAGCATACTGCCTGCGCATTGCCTACGCTGTAGGGAAGCCACCCTCGATGCATGCCAGCGCGAGATGAGTTTCGTGCTAAATCAGGCACCATCCCATGCAAGGTGCCGAGGCGTCCTTGCGTAATGACAGTGCAAGGCTCTCGTCGTAGCTCCACATGTGTTCTGTCACCCTCTGGTTATAGTTTTTCTACACGAGATGCCTCCCCCCTGCCTCGTTCCTCCTAGTCGTCCTCTCAGCAGAGGCGCAAGTGTAGTCTTGTATCTGCTCGATGAATAGGTCTCATGGCTGCTGCCGCTGGTTCCGCAAAGCCAGTGGTAGATTCCCACGTCGAGGAGCATGTAGTAGCCTTGCTCCCCAGGCTATCAGGCATCGACCTTCTTACTGGTCGTGCTACCACTGTAGCGTCGGCACCCTCACACGCCGCATCAACTATATCCACCCCACCGTCCCCTTTATCTCCGCTAGACACAGAACCGTGGATCACATTCGCGCCTGAGGGTACAGCGCCCCCCACGTCTGAGCGTCCTAGCAGCCCGTCAAGGTCTCCTAGCAGCCGGTCTGGGCCTCCTACTAGCCAGCAGGGCGTTCTACCAGCCCGTCACCGCATGTCGCACCTGCCGTTTCTGTCGGCCCGTCCACTCGCATCTCGAGAGGGCCCGTACTTCCTGTGCGCAAGCCTGGAAGGGTGCGATACCAGCAGCGCAAGCTTATCTTCGGTAGGCCTGCCTCATCTGCCTCCACGTCCTCTGTGCGCCTTGGCGAGCAGCGGGCTCGTACTGATCCCGCGCCGTCCACACCGTCGGACGACGAAGGTCCGTTTCCATTAACATTCGCAGAGCTTCAGGCAAAGGCGGAAGAGCAGTGGACGCGCCATTTTCCGTGGCTCGTCATCTCTGAAACCTCCGAGGGGCGTCCGTGCATGAAGTGCACAGTCTGCATGGTCCACGGTGATGACCCCGACTACCAGTACGGGCGCAATGGAGAGGGCGGGATCGATATTCAAAAGCAGACTATGCGGAAGAATCAGCACAGCCATAAGCACTAGGCGGCAATGGCGCGCAAGCTTCAACTTGACGGCAAGAAGGCAAAGCAGCGGTCCATCGTGGATTTTGAAAATGGCGACGCGGAATCCAAGCGACAGAAGCGGCTGATGGCGATCGTCCACTTCATCTGCAAGTCGGACGCCCCAGTTCTCCTCTTCGTATCACTGGTGCAGTTCATGGCGCAGCAAGGCACTCCTGATCTGCCAGAGAAAGAACGTGGAACCTACCAAAGCGAGTAAGTGTTGTCAATCCTGCGGGGCGCCTTGTTTGTGCAGGGTTCTCATGATCGTTCTGTATGCCACCGTTGTTTATATTCCGGAGATGGTCACGAAAAGTCTTGCTATTAAGGAGTGCTTTTACCTCTTCGTGTGTAGGTATGGCTTCAACCAACTCATTGAGAACATGGTCAGCTACCTGCGGGCGAAGCAGCTGACCCACATCAAGGCGAGCCCATTTCTCGGCATCCAGTTTGACGAGAGCACCGACAGGCGGTGGGGCAAGCATATGATAGTGTATCTGACGTTCCTGCGCGATACGATGGTCATGACTGAGTTCTTCGCTCACCTGACGGTCGAGAAGTGCGACGCCGCATCGCTTCAAGCCGTCCTACTGACACACCTGGAGGGACAAGGCGTCGACCTCAACTGCATATGTGGCATAAGCACTGATGAAGCGAGTGTGATGACGGGAGCCCAAAACGAGCTTGTCGCACGGCTTCGCACTCGTATTCCTCACCTCGTGTCATGCCAATGTATTGCTCATAGGTAAGTTGTGGCCCACATCAGTTTTGCCTTATGGTTTTCTCTGCTCGGATTATGACCAGCTTCATTTGCTATGTGTGCAGGGAAGCTCTCGCTGCCAAGGATGCTGCAGCAGAGTTCCCTGACTTGGGGATGGTTGACAAAGTCGTACGATCCTTGGCCGACATTCTCGGCCGGTCGATTGTCTTCCATTCCCGATTCAAAGAGCTGTAGGAGGTGGTCATCGAGACGAACCTCGAGATGCAAGGGATTCACAATATCCGCTGGTTGTCTCGGGGCGAGGCCATCCAGCGTCTGGTTGAGGTTTTCCCTGCAGCAGTGCTTCTCCTAAGGGAGTATGATTCTACTATGTATGCGCTCGTTATAACCTTGAAGTTCCATTTTCTCTTGTATTTCCTTGCTGACGTTTTGAAGGAGCTCAACGCCCTCAATCTGAAGTTCCAACGGCAGCACGTGCGGGTACCATTTAACCGTTTCCAGCATTTTATAGTTCTCTGCTTCTAATCCCGTACTCCCCCCTTCGCAGGTCGACGTCACCCAGGTGCTTAGGATGGTGGACAACACCATCGTGACGCTGCGGGCTCGTTATGTCAACTACGGCACCCGCTTCGGCCCCGCAGAAGGAGATTTTTTCGAATTCCTGAACCTGGTAGCTATGGGAGCCGACATCACCATTAGCGGGGTGGACGCGAACGGCACCCCGACGACTCACACGTACGAGCTGCAGACTGCTGACATTGAAGGGCAACAGTTTGACGGGAACATCGACTCGCTACAGGAGCTGGCGACGGCGGTGGTGCTGTCCATTATCAGCAAGCTGCAGGCGCGACTTTCTGACCTGGCGTCGTTGAACGTCACGCGACTGTTCAAGCAGGGTCTCTATCCCCGGACGGCGGCAAAGCGGGAGCGGAAGTTCGTGGCGTGGCTGCAGGCTCTCCGCAACCTCTGGAAGCGCGACTCCTCCGCTCCCGACACGCTGCCTGGTGATTGTCGTATTTAAGCATGCATGTGGCTCAAGTCTTTCTCTGCCTTGTTCATGACGTATATTTACTTCAACCCTGTCTACCGTTTACTAAACACCCTCCTTTCTCCCCTATCTCTTCTGTCCCCTATCCTGAAGGTGTCCACTGGGGGAAGGCAAAAAAGGAGCTGAATAGCTTCACCACTATCATGTCTACTCACCAGGATGACCTCGAATTTCATGCAACCTTGAAGAACATGCTCTCCACTCCCAACTGGAAGATGGCCTACCCGAATATCGTCAGCATTTGGATAGCAGTGGCGGTGCTGCCGTTGAGCACTGTCGAGTGCGAGCGCGGCTTCAGCCGCCAGAACGTCATTAAGAGTTGGTTGCGCGGCAACCTGTGTGACGCGAAGCTCAGCGATCTGATGACCATGTCGCTCCTCGACAACGACATGGAGTGGGACGGCATTGTGGCGAAGTGGCGTGGGGTCAAGAAGAGGCGGCTCGCGAGGGAGGTAGTGATGGGGCAGGGTTCACGTTCAGCGAAGAGGCAGAAGCGGTCAGCGGCATTCAAGGCGGCAAGAACAGCAGCGAAGGTAGCAGCAGCAGCAGCACGACAGGCAGAGGCACTTGCAGCTGAAGAGGCGGCGCGGATGTTTGATGAGGATGGTTCAGCAGGCACGGTATGGAAGAGGAAGGGCAAGGGCAGAGCGATTTTGCTAGAGTCTGATAGTGAGGAGGATGAGCAAGGATGCAGCAGTGGCAGTGAGTCTGAGTAGGGTAGGGTTAATGCTAGTTGGTTCTGCAGCGGTATTGGTTGGAAGCTCTAGTGAGTTTGTAGGATGTTAGCAGCAAGCCAAACTCATTGGTAGAGTTAGGAGTAGCTGCTGTAGGATGTTTGTTGGCTACAACTGTGGCTCGTAGGAGGAATCTTATCTTATTACGAGTAGTGCTGTGCTGTCTGGAACACATCTAATGTTTCATTTCATGTGCTTAAGTCAAAGCCTAGAGGATGAGCAGCTTAATTTTCAGGAGGCAAATTTCATCTGCAAACACAGATAAGGCTGTATACATCATCTGAAATTTTAGACCAAGCCAAACACCTCATATGATGGTCAGACAAAACTCTCGTACCCCGTCTGATTCTCAGACTGCCCTAAAAGTTAGCAGGAACCCTGGCTGCAATGGGTGCGAAACCTGTAGATTAATACCAGAAATCCAAACTACATGCCTGCTGAACAACAGAGGGGCAACAGCAAAAAGCCTATAGCAACACAACACGAAGCTCCACAGGTCAGGGGCAGGAGGCTACTGACAGAAATTAAACCAAGGTGGTCCAACCGGAAAACGAACAGTGAGCCAAGCAAAACTCCCATACTTGCTTGCACGAGAGCACCAGCACAGAGCCTCAGCCCCACAGCACATCCCCCACAGCACATCCTGCTCTGCCATACACGAGCACAACATAGCAGCAGCACAGAGCCACTGCCCCCCAAGCACACGTACTTGAGGTCCATATAATCCTGCAGCCCGTACCGCGCCACCCATCCCAGCCATCCTTTTGAGGGGATGGACCCCTCCAGGCCCATCCCCTCTTGGCCGCCTCAAAGCTCTCAGCGCCCCTCTCCCCCCCCCCCCCCCCCTCCTCTCTCACTTGAGGTTCCCCAGGCACACATACTTGAGGTCCATATAGTCCTGCAGCCCGTACTTGGACCCCTCGCGGCCCATGCCTGACTGCTTCACGCCCCCAAACGGCGCCACCTCGGTGCTGATCGCGCTCTCATTCACGCCCACAATGCCCGCCTGCAGCCCCTCCGCCACCCTGAAGCACCGCCCCATGTCGCCCGAATACACGTACGCAGCCAGGCCGAATTCTGACTCATTGGCTATGCGCAGCGCGTCGGATTCCGTAGAGAATTTGTGGACGGCGGCTAAGGGGCCGAAGGTCTCCTCCTGGAAGCACAGGCAGTCTGCGGGGACGTCGACTATAAGCGTCGGGTGGAAGAAGCATCCAGGAAGCTGCTCCGGGAGCTCGCCGGCAGGAGCGGAGAGGTAGGTCGGGTGGGCGCGGGTGCCTCCTAGCAGCACCTTGCCTCCCCTGCTCTTAGCGTCGTCCACATGCGCCTGCACTTTCTCCACGGCTGCTGCATTGATCAGCGGGCCCTGCGTGACCCCCTCCTCCAGCCCGAAACCCACCTTGAGCTGCTGCTCCATGGCGTTCTTAAACGCGCCCACGAATTCGTCGTAGATCCCAGCCTGTACCAGGACGCGGTTCGCGCACACGCACGTTTGCCCCGCGTTGCGGAATTTCGCCGCCAGCAGCCCTTTCACCGCGACTGCCACGTCAGCGTCGTCGAAGACGATGAACGGCGCGTTGCCCCCGAGCTCGAGAGACACGCGCTTCACAGTAGCCGCTGCACCCGCCATTAATCTCCTCCCCACGGCGGTAGACCCCGTGAAACTCAGCTTGCGCACCTCCGAGCTCTCCATGATTGCCTGGCCTATAGGAGGGGCGTCGCCCACCACTATGTTGATCACTCCGTGGGGCACCCCGGCTTTAACAGCCAGCTCAGCGAGGGCGAACGCGGAGAGCGGCGTGAGTTCCGACGGCTTAGCGACGACCGTGCAGCCAGCGGCTAACGCGGGAGCGACCTTGCGCGCAATCATGGCCAGGGGGAAGTTCCACGGGGTAATTACGGCTACTACCCCCACCGGTTGCTTCTGGACCAGAATCCGCCTGTCTGCTAGCGGCGCGGGGATAATATCGCCGTACGCGCGCGTCGCCTCTTCCGCGTAGAGCTGCACGTATCCCGCGGAGTAGTCCACTTCCCCCCGCGCCTCCGCGAGCGGCTTCCCCTGCTCCAGCGTCATCAGCAGCGCGAGCTCCTCGCGGTTTGCGATGATTAAGTCGTACCACCTGCGGAGAACGGCGGCGCGGTCCTTGGCGGTGCGAGACGACCAATCAGGAAACGCCGCGGAGGCCGCGGCGATCGCCTGCCGCGTCTCCTCGTACCCGAGGTTCGGGATACGCGTTATAACGTCCCCCGTAGAGGGATTAACGACGTCCATAGTAGCGGCCGGAGCGCCGTCGGCCGCGTCGCGAGGACCCACCCAGCTGTCCCCGATAAGACACTGGTCGCGGAACAGGCCGGCGTCTTTAACGCGCTGCAGCGCCTCCGCGGCTCGCGCGGACTTGGTAGCCATGGCGGCGGTTGCGCCGGCAGCGGCTGAACGGGGAGCGGAACGCGCCCGGCGTGAATGGATCCCGGAACTGCCGGAGTAGCGACGATTGTAGGACCTAGTAGCGTAGGAAGAGCTAGCGTAGGAGCCAGTGAGAGCTCGACGAAGCGACGCTGTAGCTGAGGCTGTGGCTGCGACTCTCGGCGTATCGGCTAAGGACGGCGATGCGACACGATTGCCGAGAAAGAACGATCGATCCGGTGAGCCCGTACCGGTACTAATAAGACGGCGACTGGAAGGCTTCGGTGCTGCTGCGGCACGGGGCTGCAAGGTAGTGAGCGATCGCGAGAGCTTCGCTGCTGTTGTTAGGGACTCCGGAGCGAGAAGAGAGCGCGACGGAGGAGCGGTCACACGCAGCATCTGGCTAGGCTGGAAGGAAAAGCCCCGTTTGGGGGAGGAGGAGCGAGGGAGATAAGCGAGCTGGGCGAGAGCAGCGAAGGATGCGTGCGACGGAAGCAGAACCGCCGCGACGCTCGCAAATCAGCCGAAGCGACTTTCAGGGACTCGGCGAAACGAAGATATCCCAAGCGCCGCCTAGGGGGGACGCGACAGGAGAGCGATTAGGCACTATCCTGCGTGGCTATGCTGCTCCTGCTCCCTGGTCTGCTCGTTGTACCTGCTGATGTTCCTAGGTAAGGAATTACAAATTCCTGATGTCTCAATTTATTGCCTCCCAAGATCCCAGGTTGCGCGCATGCATGGTGTGGGCCTGAGCGCCCCCCCTCTCCCCCACCCCCTCCGAATGCGCGCCCCTGGAGTCGCGAACGCGTTACCGATTAAAGGGACCTTCGCGAAGCTGTCGGCTGAACACAGTGAAGGTTCGCACCGAGCAGCTACGGTGCTGCTGGCGAAGCTGCTGCTGCTGGCGAAGTAATTGTGCGGAGGGGCGGGCCGGGGCGATTTCTCCACCCGGTAGGCCGTGTTGAGGTGGAATTCGGCGGAGGGAGCGGGTGATTCCTTCCTTCCTTGCAGCTGGCACACGCGCAGCGAACATTTGGTCGTGGACACGCTGGACGTGCCGAATCTGGCACGGCAAGGAGACTTTCCGCAATACAAACCGCTCCATCCATGTGGACATGCTGAAACGTCTGAAAGTGAACCTCCAGCATCTACTAAGCATTGCTTCTGACAAAAGCACGCAATCTTGGGAAGAGATCTATACAAAGGCAGCGACTGCCGCCATGATGCCCAACCCTGCGAGCAACAGCAAGAGGTTCAGGAGGCTCGATTCTTGTGGGCCCGAGTGCTTCTCCATGAGTTCCAACATTGCAATGTACAGCACCGTGCCTGGTGCACAGGAATGTGGGGAACGAGCAGCAGAGGAGGAGAAAGGAGGCATAAGGCGGAAGAAAGGGATCGGGAGAAAGGAAGCAGGGCGAAAGAAGAGGTGCCATATGGCAGAGCCCGAGAGTCCCAGACCCTTAGGGCACGGCTCCTGTATTTCAGCTGGGCGTTCAGATTATTATACAGAAGCGTAACCTCTTATCGAGTATTCCATGAATACAAAACTGCCAATGGTTGGGTGCAAGCTCGAAAAAAAATACTCGCACGATAATTTTGGCAGCAAAACTATATACATGAACGGCGCCCTTACCATGCCAACCCTCACCATACCTGCGCCGAACGATTGTGTGACGTTGGCAACGAGCATGGCCCGGGGCCCTGCAAGGGAGTTGGCGAGCATGCCGACGACAATGCCTGAAGGCGTCATGGCGCAGTACAGCAGCAGAATGGCCGCCATCTTGGACACCGGCACACTCTCCCGCACAAACTGTGCAGGATGATAGGGGAGATGAGGTTGGGGAGGGAGGATAGGGAGGAGAGAATGGTGAGGGGAGTGAGAGGATCGGTTGACGATAAAAGGTCATGGTATGGGGAGAGGGATCGGGGAAAGAGTGGGTTGAGAGGAAGATGTGGAAGTGGTAGTTGAGTCAGACGCAAGGAGCAGGCGACTGACCTGCACGCCCACTGCGAAGGCCTCGGCCCACTTGTGCGCAATGAGTGCAATGATGAGCCCAATGGTCCCCTGCATCGTCCCCGATGTGCCCAGCGCGGCCCCCACGACAAACGAGTGCAGGGAGAGCAGCGCCGTGAGCAGGTACGAGAGGCCCCCCCGGGAGGGGAGGACTATGTGGTGGTGGTGCGTGGCGTGCGTGTGGCGGTGCAGACCCGCGCACGCATCGTCCTCCGTCCCGCCCTGCACGCCCCTCCACCGCACACCCACCTCCTCTTGCCACTCGTGCACGGGATGCGCGGAGTGAGCATGCCCATGCCCATGCCCATTGCTATGGCTATGCGCATGAGCATGAGCATTGGCATGACTATGCCCTTCCTCATGACTGTGATCATGGGCATGAGCGTCCTGGTGCTGGTGACTACTCTTCTGCGTCTGCTGCTGCTTCTGCCGCCCCTGCTCCTGCTGCTGCAGCTGCTGCTCGCTGTGGTGGCACACGCTAGCCCCATGGCCTTGCGAGTGGCAGCAATCGCTCGGAGCCTCCTCCACCTGCACCTGCTGGTGCGGGTGCTCGGGTGATGGGTCATGCTCGTGCTCGTGATCCTCCTGCCCATGTGCATGTGCATGGTCATGGGGCTGTGCATGCTCGTGCTGGTGCTCATGGTGGTCATCATGGTGATGGTCATGGTCATGCGCTAGCAGCCCATCCTCCTCGTCATGCTCATCAGCGTGCACATGCGTATGCCCCACCTCACTCCCCCCTCCACCAGCATGACCATGGGTATGATCATGTGAATGACCAGGTGTATGGCTGTGGTCGTGACTGTGCCCATGTGCACCCGTTCCATACTCGCCTCTGTGCCCACGCCCCCCAAGCACTGCCCCACCCATGCCATACCCTCCTCTCTGATTCTCCCCTTCCCGCTCCCTCTCCCGCTCCCTCTCCCTCTCCATCTCCCTTCCCAGCAGCAGCGCTTCCCTAAGGCCTAGTTGCGGCGACGCGGACACATGTGCCGGCACATGCGAGGGCGCATGGGAGGACACACGGGAGGACGTATGCCCTAGGGCGGCAGGCGCAGGAGCAGGCGACACAGGAGACGGCAGCACGAAGCGACTGGCAGAAGGAGACGCGAACGGGGACACCGAGCCAGCAGCAGAGCCAGCAGCAGAGCCAGCAAGAGACGACGACAATCCCGAGGGTCCGAGCGGGGAGGACGACGAGGACGCAGCGCCGTGCATTGCTGCTTCCAAGGCTGCTTGCGGGATCCCTGCGAGAGCAGCAGCTGAGCGCATTCTCGTCGGCGACGGGCACTGCACAGGCCCGTATGACGCCACCGGCTGCACCTGGACGTAGCAGATGCTACCTCCCCCGAGCGACTCCGCCCCTGCTGCCACCGCCATCATTTTCTGGATCTCCTGGGGGGAGGGGGAGGGGGTGGCGGCGGAGGAGAAGCGCTGCTCCGCGTACCAGACCAGGATGAACCCCAGCGCGCACAGCAGGTACGGGATGGGGAACGGATCGCCGCCGTCCGCTGCAGCGGGATCCGCGGAGGGACCAACGGAGGGACCCGCGGAGGAATTTGCTATGTGGAGAGAGAAGCCGGACGATAGGGGGGTGGCGGGACTGTGGCGAAGGTGCGTACGCCAGGCGGATGTGACTATATTGAAGGCGGAGGGCGGCGACCAGTCTAGCGCTTGGAAGCCCTCAACGGCGTCTGGGAGCATGTGCAGCAGACCCACGCCGAGGAACACGCCGGCGGTTAGGAAGCGCATGTGGTCTATGAACCCTTTCTGGCGGGAGGGAGGAAGAGGGAGGGATGATTTGGCGAGAGGGAGGGAGGTCTGGGCTTGACAATACGACGTCTCATCCAGATGACAAGCGGCAAAACAGCAAAAACGGTGAAAACGGTAAGCCTTTTCGTCCCTACGTTCCTGTGTGCGGCCTCTTGCTGTACGCAAGACACACTAACAACACTAACAGCACTTGCTGACGCTCCACCTGACACCTTACTCTGCAACGAGTAGTCCCGAATCCCCGGTCCAGCAGTTGTCGTGTCTCTTACCCGCATCTGGTCGCTCCCCATGTTGATTCGCAGCGGCAGGAATCCCCCGACCAGCGACACCACGATCACCGTGAAGAACGCGGCCACCTTAAAGCGGAACACATTCTCGTCTACGCTCCCGTCCATGCCGCCCCCGTCGCCACCACCCCCGTCCATGCCGCTCGCGAAAATTCGGTGACACGCGGACCAGGAAAGCATACAATCTTAATCTGACGCTCTCGTTAGCAAACCGTACGGAGCCAGTGAAGAAGCAGCGTCAGGAGGCGGCCGACCAGGCGCCACGCTCGCGTCCCGACCTGCTGTAAGAATAGAAGCACCTATTCTAGAGATTCATGCAAGTGCACAACGGTAATATGGATGGATGGAGAGGAGAGCAACCGAACATGGGGAGGGAGGGGAATGGAATGATAAATATCTGGATGAACAGGGAGGGAAGGTGAGGCGTGGTGCATGGGGCGGCGTGGCCCAAGGCGACTTCCGCGTTATGGGGAGGTAGTGATCTGATTACAGGGTTGCGGTACGTGTGTAAGCTGAAGGTGAAGCCTAAATAAATATCGCGAAGCCTGGCTAATCTAATAACTCGACAAACTAAAAATGTGTGCAAACGCATCATGCGTGTACGCCAACTTCTAGGCTGTTATGAGTGTTTAACCACAGTAGCACGGAAGCGAATGTCGGATCTCAGAATTGTAATAATTTGACAAGTGTTGCAGGAGACTAAGTATAGAATATGCTAACACGAGTACTTCACCAAGGATCTTTACTGGAATGGTAGACTAGTAAGACAGCGGAAGTCTTATCAGAGTGAACCTGAGCACATGAACTTGTGGGTAGTCGAAGGTTGAATAACCTTATTGGGCTGAGAAATGCCCTTAGGATCTTTCCAGAGACTGTGTCCCAGTTGTAAAAGGAGACTTTGAGTAGTGCAGCAGAAGTTGAGTAGTTGAACCCTTGTACTAGTATGTGAGCACAAGTGATTGATTAAAAAGAACAAGCATACAGCAATATATAGAAAGTAGGAAAGTAAAGCAGTTGTAGCATACAGTTGAAGAGCGGTTATCGAGTCGCACAGCGACTCGATTGTCGCTTCGGTTACCATCCTTGCAGTTGTAACGGTCAGTCGCAACCTCCGGTTGCGACCCTTCGAGTCCTTTCGTGTTCTTTGTTCATCCCCTCGTATAACCTCCGTTGACTCGCGTACCCGTTACGATGTTCCTCGAGTGTGGTGTTACACTTCAGAAACGCTTAAGTCCTTGAGGTATTTCCAACACTCCCCTTCGTTTCTGGAGTGCTGACGTGTTCAGATCCGGTGACGTTTGTCTGCCCGGTCAGCAGCATGCAGTAATCAAACTTTGCCTTCGCCAGTTTCTTCGTTAGGTAGTCTGCGGCCATTTCTGTCGTAGGGCAGTAACTGAGTTGAAGTCTCCCCTTCGCGATTTCATCCTTGATGAAGAAGTACCGCAGAGATATGTGCTTGGTTCGATTGGCGAAGCCGCCCTTGTTCGCGATTTTGATCCCAGATTGGTTGTCGCAGAGGAGTGAGAAGACGGGCAGGGTCGCAATCTTTGCTTCCTCGAGTAACTCTCGCAGGTAAAGTCCTTCCTTGGTCGCAGTGCAGAGGGCGATATATTCTGCTTCAGCCGAAGATAGTGCGATTAGTTCCTGTTTGCTCGACTGCTAGGAGATAGTCCCGATAGGCTCAAGTCGGTAGATGTAGCCCGTCCTTGATCGTCGATTTTCCCTGTCTCCCGCGTGATCGGCGTCGACGTATCTGAGCAGTTGTACGGACGATGTCGTTGCTTTACTGTAGGTAAGTCCGGTCGTCGGCGTAGAAACGAAGTAGAGTAGTGCCCGATTTAATTCCTCGAGATCTTCTTGTTCCGGCTGCTTTAGATGCGTCGCCAGTTGGCTCGCGCTGTAAGATAGGTCCGGTCGGCAGGTTACTGCTGCGAATAGTAGGCAACCGAGTTTCTGCTGATACTCCTGGATTTGCTTCGCGGGGAGTTTTGCGGAGGTGTCGTTGTTTTTCCCGTAGCGGTAGGGAGTCGTGACCGTGGTCGGTGTTAGTCCGAATTTCTTTGCGACAAAGCCTGCGTATTTTCCAAAGTATAGGTAGAACGCCGAGTTGTCTTCGACGACGTTCAGACCCAGGTACTGGGTTACGGTGTCAGACACCATGAGTGTCAATTCCTTTTTCAGCTCCCCTTCGAACCAGGTGGCGATGTCGGTAGTGGACCCGATGAAGAGCAGGTCGTCGGCGTAGACGATGAGTAGGATAAATTCCCTTTCCTTCTGTAGTCGGTACATGCCTTGGTCATGTGGCAGCTGTAGGAATCCGATTCTGACGAGGCGACCGCGAAGGTGCTGCTGCCAAAGCCGCGGGGCTTGCTTGATCCCGTAAAGGGATTTTATCAGCTGGCATACTTTTGTGGGGTCGTCGATGAATCTGTGGGGCTGCTTGACGAAGATCTCGGCGTCCACAGGTGCGTACAGGAAAGCATTTGCGACGTCGATCTGGCGCAGTGGTAGTTGCTTCGTGGCCGCGACGGCGAGTAGGATGCGCAAGGAGGTGTGACGGGAGACTGGGGCGAATGTTTCTGTGTAGTCAGTTCCGTATCGTTGATCGAATCCTCGTACGACCCGACGAGCTTTGAATCGTTCGTTGGAGCCGTCCGCATTGGTCTTGATGCGGTACACCCACTTTCCCGAGAGAACGTTCTTCCCGTTGATGCTCGCTGCAGGTACCAGCTTCCATGTATTTCGGTCTTGCAGAGCTTTCAGTTCCTTTTCCATTGCTTCCTTCCATTTCGCCTTGTGTTCCCCCCCCCAGAGCCTGCGACAGGGTCGTTGGCTCGTGCGGAGATGGCGGCGGCGGAAGCTGGACGGAGACCCATAAGCCGAGTATCTGCAGTCCCGTGGGTGTGTGTCGAGGGGAATTTTCATTCCCCGAATAGGCTGCTTCGTCACCATCTTCTGGATCAGGTAAGAAGTTTGGGCCGATGCGTTCTGAGACATTTGTGTCGACCGGGTGAGGTGTAACGTAACCTTGGTCAGCGAAGTAGTAAAGGGTGTCGAGGTTGTTGCTATCAAGAGGATTGTCTTTGTCGAGTGGAACAGGCACGGAACAGTAAGGGAGTGGTCCGGCAACTTCCGAAGCTCCAGGTACGTCTTCTTCTACTGCGCCAGCCTCGGCAGCACGGTCGGTGAAGGAGCGAAGGCCTGCGACACCGTCGGTGGGGTCGTCTGTGTTGGCGACGTTGTCGAGGTAATGCGGTGATGCGTTGTTGGGAAGCGAGGAAGAGGATAACAAATTGTGCAGGTGGACTGCATGGGTCATCGCGTCTGGCCACAGTGTGTTGGGCAGTCTCATCCCCAGGAGCAGCTTCTGCATCGTCGTCTGCAAGGTCCGGTTCATTCTTTCTGCGACCCCCTGCTGCTGGTGAGCATAGGGCAGAGACACCAGGCGTCTGATTCCTCTTTCCGCCAAGTAGTTCCTGAATCGTTGTGACTGGTATTCCAGTGCGCCATCTGACTGGAAGCTCTTGATCTTGGTTCCTGATTCTCGTTCAGCGATGGGGAGCCACGTTGTGACGGCTTTGAAAGCTTGATCGCGTGTCTTGAGGTTGTAGTGCCAGACATATCTTGTTGCTGCATCGATGAACGTGATGACATAGTTGGAGTCGGCTTCAGTGTTGTCTCGAGGCATGTTTAAGATGTCGTTGTAAACTTTTTCCATCGGTGCGTATGCAGGTGCGCTTGGGTTGTGATGTGATGGAAAAGGTTGGTGAGGAAGATCGGCTTCGGGACACGTGAAGCACCGTGCACGTGGTCGTCGAAGTTCTTGGCCGCTCGTTGTAAGAAGAGCATTTCTCTCTAACACTTCGGCTTGGATGGTTTGTAGTACCGTGCTGTTTGCAGGATGCCCAAGGCGTTGGTGCCAGATGTCGTCGGGGGCGCGATGGCCGGGCGAGCGTTGGTACATGTCGGCGTTGGAGAAGAACGCGACGACCGTGGCGGGACTTCGGCAGACTTCACGTGTGATGGGCATAAGTTGATCTGCTTCGGTTGGCGGTCCTCGGATCGCTAGTGATGGTACTCGGCTGGGTCCTGCTGCTGCTACTGCAGGTGATGTCTGGGAAGAGACGGTTGCTGGTACTTGTCTTTCTTGTCTGATGACTGCTAACGCTCGTGTTCTTTCTGCGGCAGGTATGGTGTTGGAGTACCAGTATCCATCTGGGTTGAAGTCGGGGTCAAGATCCGGCGGGTGCGTCCAGGCTGCGAACGACACGATGCCATCGCTGTCGGCAGTACCGCGGTCGGGGACGAAATCCAACACGAAGACGCCGGACTTCAGGAGAGCGCGACCGATGAAGAGACCGCCCTTCCCGTGGTAAAGACGAAATTCGTTGGAGTCCGAGTCGCATTCCAGGTAAATACCTTTTGCCGTTAACTGGCTGACGCTGAGTAAGTTGTATCCCAAGTTGTCGACGATTAGAACTTTGTTGAGTTGGAGTATGACGTTCGTCTCCATTGACTGAAGCCGAACGACGCCTTGTCTGTTTGTTTTCAGGTTCTCGTTGTTGGCGACAGTGATGATGACATCACGGTTGAGGCGTCGCTCTCGCTGCACGAAGCGCCCGGGAGAACACATGTGTTGACCGCAGCAGCTATCCAAGATCCAGGTGTTTCGTCCGGTGGGTTCGGCGTTGGCGACTGCAGCGTATGTCGGGTTAACCTGAAGTCCTTGTGAGCGTGGCGACGGCAGTTCTTCTTCGTCTGGAGCGTAAGTGGGTGGTGATCCGGGTGCACAGCCGTCGATGTGTATCATGCAGTTGATGATGTTTGGTGTGCCTTGTGCAGATAAGGAGGAACGTCTCGGTGGGCTTTCTTGAGTGGAGGCGACTTGTGGGTCTACTGGACGATAAGCTCGAGGACGTGTGCAGTTGACTTTGGAGTGTCCGGGTGTTTGGCAGTTGTGGCAGAACGGCGGCACAATGGTGAGTCCTTTGTTGTCGCGTTGATGTTGCTTGCCGCGTCGATTGTAGTTGTTGTCGTTTCTTCGTTGAGTGTAGAAGACTAACGGTTGCTGCTTCCTTGGTTGTCTTTCTTCAAACAAGTCCATCTCCTGTTGTTCAGCATAGAGCTCGGCGCAGAGGTGCATCTCCGAGATTCGTCCGTGGGCGCGAAGGAGCGAGCGGGTGGTTCTCCATTCTGGCCCGAGCCCAGCGAGGACAAGCGTCACGAAGCTTTCTTCAGTGATTGTTCCTCCGCACCGAAGCAGGCGGTCGCGGAGTGTCTGGCATCGACTCATATACTGCATCGCCTTTTCTCCGGTCTTCATCTGTATTGTTGTCAGTTGCTGCATGAGTCTGCTT